TATGAACAACCTGATTATATATATCAATGTGCTGGTTATTGGAGAGAAGATTCTCGATCAATGATGGTTACATATGATCGTGATGATCCTTATAATAATTATAAATGTTGGGTTTATGAAAGAAGAGATTTAACAACAATAACATTATCAAGATCGGCTGGTTCAGCTTGTGGTTTTAATCAAACATCTGAAAGTTATAAATCTGAAGATGGTGCCGATCTTGCTATAACACTTACTGAAGCTGAAAGAATTCGTAAGTTAATTTGTTGTCAAAAATCTAATCTAGATAATCTAATATAATATAATGATAGATGATGATTGTCCAATTCGTTATGATGATGGTCGAAATGTATTTATTGATTTAGAAGAATTTCATTTTTATTATGCCAAATCATCAATTATTCATATGAAAAAATTATTTCTTTTCTTTTTTATTTTTATTCCATTCGTATTGTTTAATTAATAGTTTGTTATTTCATTCCAATAATTCATAATCATTTCATTTGTCAGATCATTTTGTTTTTCTTTCAATTTTCTTTATTGTTTTTTTTTGTACATTATATTTCAATGATTTCTGTCAGATATTTGTCGTTTTTTTTTGTTATTAAAGCAATAGTTAAATATATAGATCAGATTTGTTTTTTGACAATTTCATACTAAAACAAAAAAAGATTCTTTTTTTTTCTAGATAAACAATAATGATTCATTCAAAAAAAACATCAATGAAAAATATCTTCTGGAAAAAAGAAGCATTTATGTTAATCCAATTATTGTTTTCTGGAACGCTTTGTTTTCCTGTGTTTTCTCAAATAAAAATATAATTAATGCTTAGAAGATAAATATTAAAAAAAGTTCGTTTTTTGAAATTTTTTAGATAATAATAGTAATGCTCTTGACAAAAGCATTGATATTATTATTGGTCATATTAATAGACAAAACAGGTTTTAAATAAATAAAATTTAATTAAATAAAATAATAAAATATATTTTATATTATAAAATCTAGTGAAAAGTCAAATATTATGTACATTTGATCGTCCATTATTGGGTGAATATTATTCGTATGAAAATGGTCTTGAAACTCATACATCATTAAAAGAAAATGGAGATATTGACAGACTTTTTTATCGTCGAGAATCGGGTCGTGGTGCTACTGCTAATATAATAACAGTTCTTGATAATCATGCTATTGGAGAATGTTTTAGTCTTAATTGGAGAGAAAATCCTTTTGATCATGTTTCAAAACATCATTTTGAACTTATTTATAGAGATAAGTAAGGGTTTCTTTTATTATTATTAAAATGAAAAAGAAAACAAAAATCTTTTATGTTAAAGAGAAAAATCGTGTTATCAATGTTATCAAATATATAATCGAACACGAAATATTCTCCAAATTCGAAAAAGTGAATGTAATGAAATAACATCAATTGTAACAAATCAAATTAATTTTCAAGATCTTTGTGCAAGTATTAATCTAGATGCTGATGTTGATACATTATTTTGTTAGTTCAACTACTGTTTCTTTTTTAATTTTTTAAAATTAATTCTTTATTTAATTAAATAGCTAAAACATATTCAGCTGAAGAATGTCGTGCAACTATATATGGAACATATCATTTTACATATGAATTTCGTGAAGGTGGTATTGGTATATGTGATAATCCAATATCACGTTTAGTATCTTGTCCTGATCCTGGAACTCCATTTGAAGCTCTTAATGAACGTTTTTGGATGACATATGGTTATTGTCGAGATCTTGTTTCATCAATTGATGCTCAACCACTTTATCAATGTTTAGGGCATTGGATAAATGAAAAAGGAGATATATTTACTGGTATTGCTAATGAACGTGTTGGAACAGAACGTTGGTATGATAAATTTCGTTGTATGTTAACACGAAAAGATCAACCACGATGGTTTGCTAAATCTTTATTTGCTGAATGTAGTCGACTTTATTCACCAACAGATGGACCAGAAAAAGTTATTATAACACCAATTATACCAGAAGTTCCAACGCCAACTTGTTTTTTTCCAGATAATTTTACTGGTGAATGGGTTAATACAGCTAATGTTAATGCAAGAACAATTATTAATTCAACACATATATATGAAATATCACGAGTTAATAATCGTGGTTGGTTAAGAGAAACATATTATGTTTGTCAACAAAGATCTCGTAGTCAATATTTAGTTAAATCTGTTACAACAGGAGAATGTTTTCCATATTATATTTGTTTTGATTTTAAAGATCGTCATCATAATATATTAAGATATAGAAAATCAAAATCATTTATGTCAAATGTTTATGATGATCTTTCAAAAAGAGATCCACTTTATGAAGTTTGTTCATGGATTAGTTTTGGTAATGATGCTACTTGGAAATATCAAGTTTTTGTTTTGGATCCACCAGCACCTGTTGAATGTCCATTTACTGGTATGTGGACATTTAAACAAGTTGGACAATCAAATTCATTAATTCGAACACGAATTCGTGGTGGTATTACACCTCGACCTCGTGATCATGGTTGGTATATTTCATGTGATCCAAAATATACCGTTTCTCAATGGACTATGTGTAAAGAGGAAACAAAAGCTATGTCAGTTGATCGAGAATATTGTCGGCAATTAGATCCATATGGAACACCAATTGGTGTTTATGAACAACCCGATTATATATATCAATGTGCTGGTTATTGGAGAGAAGATTCTCGTTCATATTTAATAACATATGATCGTGATGAACCATATATAAATTTTAAATGTTGGGTTTATGAACGAATGGATTTATTTAAAATTTATTTATCAAGATCAGCAGGTTCATTTTGTGGTTTTAATCAAACATCAGAAAGTTATACAGCAGAAGATGGAGCTGATCTCAAAATTGAACTTGAAGAAGCTGAACGTATTCGTAAATTATTTATTTTAATTTAGTTTATTAAAATTGTTTTTCTTTTTTTTTGTTTAAATTTTAGATGATGATTGTCCAATTCGATATGATGATGGTAGAAATCCTTGGCAAATGGTCGATGAATTTTTATTTTATTATGCTTCTGGATCAATAGTATTTCCTTCATATTATCTCATTATTCTAGTAATTCTCACGGTTTTTTAATCAATATTTTCACAGTATTATTGATTTTTGCAATTTAATAGTCATTGTTTCCTTACTTCTCCACTTTAGGCACAGTATATATACAAACAGAGCAGGAAAAAAAGTGATTGGCGAGAAATTGACCATCACAAATAAAAAAAATACATATAGCGACTAAATTAATGTCACTTCTTAAAGATGACAGTAGAATATGAGAAAAAACAGAGATAATTAATAGCTTACTTCTAAAGCAATTTTTTAAACCGATGTGGTTTTATCTGATATAAAAGCAGAATTAATTAAAGGAAACTAAAGTCTAAATCATCAAAATGATACAAAATCTATCAATTTGCCTCACAATAATATGTATAAGTATAAAAAGGGATTTTTTCATTTAATTTTCATTTTTTTCAAAACGTCTAAAACGGATCTTAATATTGAAATTGACGATCTTGATAAACTAACCTTACGAAAAATTCATGAACTGACTAAAACAAATATGAGTACAATTTTACTTCTACAAAAGCTAAAACTATTACCAACACTTCCAACAAAAATTGAGCAATGCGGTCAACAAAATAATCACGCTTGGTATCTCGCTGAATATAATAAATCAATTGACGATAACTAAAAAAGTTCACTCCTGTCATCTTTAAGAAGTGACATTAATTTAGTCGCTATATGTATATTTTTTTATTTGTGATGGTCAATTGCTCGCCAATCACTTTTTTTCCTGCTCTGTTTGTATATATACTGTGCCTAAAGTGAAGAAGTATCTTTTCTTCTTTTTGTTTTTTTTTTATACATTCCACATTATTTTTAAAAATTCTAGTAGCAATAATGAACTTTTGTGAACAAATGTAATTTTATTTGTAGATATGTTAACTAAATTTGAATCGAAATCAGCACGTGTGAAAGGTTTAAGCTTTCACAGTAAACGTCCATGGATTTTAGCATCACTTCATTCAGGTATAATTCAATTATGGGATTATCGTATGAAAACATTAATTGATAAATTTGATGAACATGATGGTCCTGTACGTGGTATACATTTTCATAATGCACAACCATTATTTGTTAGTGGTGGAGATGATTATAAAATAAAAGTTTGGAATTATAAAACACGTAAATGTTTATTTACATTATTGGGTCATCTTGATTATATTCGTACAACATTTTTTCATCATGAATATCCATGGATTATATCAGCAAGTGATGATCAAACAATTCGTATATGGAATTGGCAATCAAGACAATGTGTTTGTGTTATGACAGGACATAATCATTATGTTATGTGTGCACAATTTCATCCAACTGATGATCTTGTTGTATCAGCATCACTTGATCAAACTGTTAGAGTTTGGGATATTTCTGGTTTAAGAAAAAAAAATGTTTATTCATCACCAGATACAATTCAATCACAAATTCAACGTACTACAGGAACACCAGATTTATTTGGACAAGTTAGTTTATTAATTTTGTTTTAAATATTATTACTAATCTAGAATTAATATCATCCTTGATTATTAAATGTCATTTATATTCGCATTATTGTTATTATTAGGTTTCTATAAGATTAACAAAATTACGAAAAGAGTTTGAATCTATATTGAGATTAGGTGTTGAATCTTTTTATTATTTGTATTGAGTAAAAAGACAATTGATTTGTTAGCAATATTTGTTTTATGATTGTATAATAACAGTGTTTCAGTATTTATAGAAAATTTAAAGTGTGCTATAGCACAAAAAACAATCATCTCGAGAATTTCAGATATTAATTTCATCAAATAAGAAAAAAAAATGAACGATATATTTTTGACATAAGAGGCATCAGAACTTGCTTTAGATGGATTATGACCTTTTACTCTTCTTCGCCTTACTGCGATTTACTCATAGTTTTAATAGAAAATAACATTTCGTTTAACCATTTGGAACTCTCTTCCATGAACTTGAAGATGTGATAGTGTTCGTATGACACCGTAATTGATCTAGGCTTTTAATAATAGACTAAGCTCGTAGATATGTAACGAATCTACGATAAAAGCTCGTTTTTATGTTAACAAGAGAAAGCCCCTCATTGATCGATGCTGTTTTCAATAATATTTTGTCTATATGTTGGAGACATTATTCTGAGAAAAATTCTAAGAGGGTTTGGACTGATAGAGTTTCTTTCGAAGATTATCTCAATCTGATCTGATATTTCGTTCATAGGTAGTTTTCGTGGTTATTAGGACATGCTAAATTTTTCCATGGAATAAAAATGTTTTCTTGTCATAATGTTGAATTGTTAAAGAAATTAGATAAGTTAGCAAGAATTAATTTGTGTAAAAGAAATTTTTTTTCCATTGAAACATTTATAATGTTTCAATGATCACAAGGACTTTATATGAATAACATTTTGAAGAGAAAAAGCATTAAATAAAAAAAACTTGATCATCACTATTATTTCATAATGTGTAAATCGACTTTATGGTTGATACATCATTGCATTCTCAATCATTATTCAGTGCATATTTTGGCATGTCCGATTTCTCTCTTTCTCTCTCTCTCTCTCTCTCTATATATATATATATATATAGGATGAATATTCTTTGTTTGAACTATAATAAATTTTCTTCTGATAATATTTAGGCTGATGCGATAGTAAAACATGTATTAGAAGGACATGATCGTGGTGTTAATTGGGCAACATTTCATCCAACATTACCATTAATTGTAACAGCAGCTGATGATCGTGTTGTTAAATTATGGCGTATGAATGAAAATAAAGCTTGGGAAGTTGATACATGTCGTGGACATTATAATAATGTATCATGTGTTATTTTTCATGCAAGACAAGATTTAATTTTATCAAATGGTGAAGATAAATCAATTCGAGTTTGGGATATGACTAAACGGTTTGGTTTATTTTAAGAACAAATAAAATGATTTATTTTGTTTTTCTTGTGTTGTTTTTAGAGTAGCAATAAATACATTTCGACGTGAAAATGATCGATTTTGGATTTTAACAATTCATCCAACATTAAATTTATTTGCTGCGGGTTTGTTTTTTAAACATAATTTTAATGTTTAAAAAAGAAATATTTNTTGCTAAATCTTTATTTGCTGAATGTGCTCGACTTTATTCACCAACTGATGGACCAGAAAAAGTTATTATATCACCTATTATTCCAGAAGTACCAACGCCGACGTGTTTTTTTCCAGATAATTTTACTGGAGAATGGGTTAATACAGCTAATGTTAATGCAAGAACAATTATAAATGCAACACATATACATGAAATATCACAAGTTAATAATCGTGGATGGTTAAGAGAAACTTATTATGTTTGCCAACAAATAAGTCGACAACAATATTTAGTTAAATCTGTTACCAAAGGAGAATGTTTTTCATATTATATTTGTTTTGATTTTAAAGATCGTCATCATAATATTCTTCGATATAGAAAATCAAAATCATTTATGTCAAATGTTTATGATGATCTTTCAAAACGAGATCCACTCTATGAAGTTTGTTCATGGATTAGTTTTGGTAATGATGCTAATTGGAAATATCAAGTTTTTGTTTTGGATCCTCCAGCACCAATTGAATGTCCATTTACTGGTATGTGGACATTTAAACAAGTTGGACAACCAAATTCATTAATTCAAACACGAATTCGTGGTGGTATTACACCTAGACCACGTGATCATGGTTGGTATATAACATGTGATCCTCAATATATGGTATCGCAATGGACAATATGTGGTGATCAAACAAAGTCAATGTTTGCTGATCGTGAATATTGTCGACAATTAGATCCATATGGAACACCAATTGGTGTTTATGAACAACCTGATTATATATATCAATGTGCTGGTTATTGGAGAGAAGATTCTCGTTCTTATTTAATAACATATGATCGTGATGATCCGTATATTAATTTTAAATGTTGGGTTTATGAAAGAATTGATTTATTTAAAATATATCTTTCAAGATCAGCTGGATCATTTTGTGGTTTTAATCAAACATCTCAAAGTTTTGAAGCACAAGATGGAGCTGATCTTAAAATTGAACTGGAAGAAGCTGAACGAATTCGTAAGTTATTTATTTAATTAAATTTTGATTGAATATTATATTTATAAAATAGATGATGATTGTCCAATTCGTTATGACGATGGTCGAAATCCTTGGCAAGTTGTCGATGAATTTTTATTTTATTATGCCTCAGCAACAACACTTATGCCGTCCTTGTTTATTTATATTTTTCTCATATTATTAATTATGAACTTTTTTTAATCAGTATATTACAGTGACATGACTTTTTTTTACAAATTAATCTGTGTTTTCTTTTTTGTACATTCCATAAATGACTATAACAGTTTTAGTGATCTTTATATGTTTTTATTATTCATTTATTGTCAATAAATGTAAATGTTAGAAAAAGTCAAACTTTCTTTATATGAAGGTCATTGAATATATGATGTGTCACTAGAGAACTACTAAACCAATACAAAACAAAAATGTTAAAATTTAAAGATGAAACTTGTAAATTAGAGAAATTTTATTTTTACAAATAAGTTTCTCTTGATGAGTTCATTTTGAAAAGTTTCCAATCAAAAACGAATCGAATTCTTGATAAAATAGTTTTTTAGTAGACATTGAATCAAATCGAAAGATCAATTGTGGGTTCAGGTTGTTTGTGATCAAGAATTTTCTACCAAAAGGACTAGGGCCGATAAGGCTATTTTTCTGCCCCCAACAAAATTCACTTTTTTTTATCGATTCACAGTCAGACATAATGCCTGATGATATTCCATGGGTCAGATTTTGAAAAACTGACCAACAGGTTTTTGGGACCTGGGGTCCCCCACAGGGATCTCTGGGAAACTTTTTATCCTTGGTTTCGTTGAAATGTATGTTTGTTGATAGAGTCCAATGTGCTGATTTAGAATATCAGTATATGAAGTCCTCGAAGGCTTTTAAAAGGCGAGAAGCGCAATCCTTTTGCAANTGTATTAGGTCGAGGTTTCTAAATAAGTGAGAATTTGATCTTATAAATTAAGAATACTTTTTCTAAAACAGCAGATGAAAACTTTTTTGAGTAAATGACTCGAGTCCGAGTCATGACTCGGACTCGCCCATCCCTGCTATGAGCACTCGTTTTGTTGATAGTATATATTTTTAAATTAAATGAAAAATAATCTCGTTGAATTAACCAATTATTAACAATATTTGAATTTATTATAAAAAAAATCTTCATATAAGATAAAATTTTGTAAATATTCGATCATGTTTGATTATTTTATTGATTTTTCTCTAGAAGCTTATTTTTATTTGCTAGATAAACTTGTATAAATAGATACCAATCATAAATTTATTTGAGCTATTCATTCTAAAATCTATTTACAAAATTTATTATTTATTTCATTTTGTTTTTGTTCATATTCGAGTTCTTAATAAATTATTTGAATAGAACTGTAGAATTGAAAAATTGAACGATATAAATATCTTATATTATTTATATTAAAATATTTCAATAATCGAATTCAGTTATAGATAAACAGACGTCCATTTTAATTCTTACTGTAATAAAATATATTAGAAAAAAAAACAAATTAATTTGATAAATGATCTTTTAAATAATTTATTAATCATTGATTCAATTAACTGAACATTTCCTTTATTCTATTGATAAATTATATCATTGCCTATTTATTATTAAACAAAAAAAGAAACTAGGTTAAAATTATTCTTCAGATATTATTTGGTTTAGTTTATAAAAATGTTAATATTGAATAATTCTATCTATTTATTTATTTAAAACTATTGTTTATATGATTGTCTACGCAGAGATTAACGATTTTTTAAAAAAATATATATTCTCGAGCAACAAACTTTATTACGTCAGTCACTAATTCGATACCGACATAACGATAATTACATTCACAAACTGACTTTTTTTCATTAGTTATAAGAAAACAAAAATAGATAATAATATCATATCGAAAAGTTAAACAATAACTAAACAAGAAAAAGCTCTTTCGAAAGATGTTCAACGGCGTTTTATTTTTTATTATAAGGAGTTCACAAATAAAATAATATACATATTTAAATAAAAACTTTATAAATAATGTTAGAAATAATCATTGCTGTTATTTAGTTATGTTTATAATAATATATCGAAGTTGTTGAGAAATAAATTTCATATATATATATATGGGTCATAGTCGTTGTCAAGGCACCTTTATTTTTCCTTGCACTTATATTCTTTCATCAAGAAAATGAGGAATAAAGAAAGAAAGAGAAGAAAAGAAACAATTTTACTTCTGCCACTATGTTTTTAAAAGGCTCAAGAATAATTTTTTTTTACCGTTGCATGTTGACATGAAGCACTCTTAACGTGATCAATCTTGCCATATTCAAGCAGAAAATAGTATTTTATTTTATTTTATTTCCAAAGACAAATTATATTATCCTAACATCAATAAATTCAATATTCAAACTCGCTTATTTAAGTCAATATTTAATTAATGTACTCATAAGAAGAAAATTCGACAGATTCATATCTTACGCAATACAATACTATTCAATATATATCAAGTAATTAAATCTTATCTTTCTTTATATAAGATTTTACTCGAAGAAAACAAAATCTTTTACGAATCCTTTATACATATATGACGCGAAAGCATAGAATTTTACTATTATAAATCAATTATTCGAGAGAAAACGATCAACTACACTTGCTATCAATAATTATATGATTAAACATCTCACAACTTTATAGTCAATTCTTTCCTTCCATATATATATATGATCAGATAGAAATATTTATCACGAATTAGAGCTTTTCAAAAACTTTACGATAGAATCATTAATATTACGATAATCGAAATTAGTTTTTTAATCATTCTATTATATGACAAGGATAATTAATCAACATATAGAAGGAGAAACTCTGAAGTATTTGAAATATAACATCGAAATTTAAAATATGAAAAAATGATTTCAATTATGTTATTATTGAAAGAAAGAATTTCACAAATTTCATTTCTTCGAACACCTTTAAAAGTACTTCCATTATCGTATCTTAATCAGAGACTAAATTTTAAATACATATTTTCTTTTTCATTTTTATATATAGTTCATCATTCCAGATGAACTTCACCTATTATTCAAAAGTCTTTCACCAAATATATGATATTGTATCCTAGTCGATTGTTGACGCTAATCACGATTTGTTGTTACCAACTAGCTATGGATCAGTGACTACCTTGGTCATACGTCACTACACGGTATCGTGTTCAAATCTCGATATCATCAGACACCAAATAACTCCGGACAAATGAATAATGATCACTTGTCTTGTATCATTCGTTCCATAGCATGATGACTAAGTTGTGACATAGGCCTGTTTCTTTATTATTAGTCAGTATATATCAAGAACTGAAGCAATTCAGAGTAAGAATTTTGTGTCAGGTTAATCTTCTATCTATAAGAATAGATAGCTTTATTTCTAGGAAAAAATATGAGACTAGTGAATCTACCAGTAGGTATCAGTCAATACCAGCAGCTAGTCGAAAGGCAAAGATATTTTTGTTTTCTCGAATATCGTCTTGCACTACCTTTATATAATAATATCTATTTTGAAAAAGTTATATTTATTTTTCTAATCATTATTGATTAGAAATAATGATTAGGAAAAAACTTAATAATTGTCCTTGGAAAAGTTAAACTGTCCTTTCCGGACAAATTTTTCATTTATACCGTATGATAATTGATTCATTAATGATATTGACTACTGATCGCTGAAAAAACTATTTAATCATTTCTCGAATTTCATTAAAAAACGGCGTTCATCTGTGTACTGAAAGTTAACTGTTATTTGGTATTTGCTATCGATTTTCATAGCACTCTATTTTCTATGCATTGTTTTCCTTTTTTTTTCTAAATAGTACACTGTTCAATAGTACGAAGTTCTTTCTGTCAGATTCATCCTAGAGTAAAATAGAGATGTTAAAAACAATGATATTGTTTCTAAATCTTATTTGATAATGACGAAAGAATCATCCGAACAAAACTAAATCAATATAAATGGATCTTAAGGTAAAGTCTTCTGAAAATGGTATTATTATTTATTTTCTCGATGATTTGAGAACTTTGAAGAAATATCATTTGAAATGGTTTACCGAATGAACAAGCAAACATATAAATTGAATCATAGAATCTTCTCGATAGATAATAGATTCATTAAAGAAAAAAACAATTTTCGAAGGGTGTGGATGTGGGTGGGGTGTGGGTGTTTAGGTGCGGGGTCTGGGTGTCTCTCTATCAAGCGTAACACTCACATCCACATCAATACCCACACCCACACTCACCAATATAACTTCAATTTAAACCAAATAAAGTTCAATTTAAATCCATTCCGTTGGATTTAAATCCAATTAAATGGATATACATTGAATTTAGATTGATTTAAACTGGATTTGAGTAAATTTAAAAGGCTTAAATACATTTAAAATAAACTTCAATTTACATAATTTACATTTAAAATAAATTTAAATTTTCATCTCTAAAAAATTTTTATTTATTTGAAATTTAACTTCACAAAAATTTAAATTTAAAATAAGTTAATAGGCGATCGTCACCCCTAATCGGAACTGGAAACTAAAACTTGGGAACGAAACTATCACCATCATATTTTAATGCAAGGTGTGTTGACTTTTCGAGCCCGATATCTATATAAGTTGGCTACTCAGATCAAATCTGTTTTTTTTTTTTATCTTAATTTCAAGAAAAAAGAGCCAGCTTACAATAAATCTAGCACAACAGTGTAAATATTTATTTTTCATGATTCAGGCAGCTGTCTAGGTAGAATAACAAAAACAAATTATATGATCTTGGTTAAATTAAGCGGTACACGAGAAAGTAATCGATAAAGATATAAAGAGAACAATGAACTGTTTACATTTAGGTGGATGGCACAAGTTCATCGAGTCTTTCGCAGACACATTCTTCTGACGTGAAAATATCATAAAAACACCTTTTTCAGTAGAGGAAATTCTTGGACACAAGCAACAATTTTTTAATGATGAACTGGCAAAAATCCGATCCTGTCCGACCGGTTTTAACTTTTTGTCCGGTCCGATTCGGCCGGACCGGTTTCAACTCTGGATTTTTTGATTGATTACTAATCAATTGTCATTAGAATGGAGTTGATTTCTCTCAGTTGTATTCTTTTAATTAAAATTAAACTAATCGTATGATCATCATGAAATTATAGATTTTTACATTTGTTGTTTCGGGCTTTCTGACGTATTTTATTTAAAAGCAAATACATCACACAAAATAACCAAGAGAACTGACTATTTTTCCATTAAAAGTTATATGATATATATATATTTGTTTTAAGACTCAAAATAAATTGCATAAAATGTATTTCAGTCTTGCAAAATAGATCAGTTTTTAACAGAGAACTAATGCTTTGTTTACTGTGTGAACTAATGGATTATAGATTTTAATCAATGTTCTCTTACCTGTAATTGCTTAGACTATTTTGTTTAAGAGTATTTGACAGCCACGATTACTTATTTTAAAAAAAGCAGCAAATTTTCTTTCTATGATAAAATTCAATTATTTTATGGTATGTGTCGCGATACTGTCCTATTGATAGATTATCTAATTACCTACGAACTGTTAATTTAGATCATAGATAGAATATATGTGTTTAAGATAAAGATCTATTTTATTATTGATAATACTATTTTAAGAAATTTTATCCAAACTGACTTTATTAATAATGATCTAAATTTGGTATAATATTAAATATGTTACTCTGAGATACGATGCACTTGTTAGATGACCTTGTTAAAGATCGAAGAATTTTTTTTGGCGTATGTTAACATATTATTAAATGTTCAGTTTTGAATTGAGTCTATTCTTCGAGGTGATAAATCATATTGCTAAGTTCTGAATTGATTTGCGTTTTATTTCGATGAATCCTTATAATAATTTCTGATAATTGTAAAAAATGAATTATTTGTTTGATATTGACCTGGAAAATATTTATGATATTTAAAAGTGAAAATAATTAAAAATTTCATATTGGTTTGTATGAATGAATATTAAACAAAAAAAAAATCATTTGTTTATACGATTGAAAAAACCTCTAATTCTTATTATAATTGATCAAAATTCAAGTTTAATGGAGAGAGATATGAAGAAGAATGAGAATAAATTTTATTGTTTAGAAGTATCCTCATTAATCATTATCATATATTTATCTAAATTATTATTTTAAAATGTTAAGCTTGAAATAACCCTTGGCTACATTGTTTTTCTATCAATATATTTAGTTTATGAGATTAAACATTTAATATATCAAATAAAGAATAAACGGTCAGACAATCTATCTTTTATCGAATGACTTCCATGACATTTTCTCTCTGTGACAAAGTAGAGATGCCATCGCGATCATTGTCAGTGACAGGTATTCTGTAAGCGTCATAGATTTAAAATTTTTCCGAATAAATTTTCTCAATGAAGACTTAACCGAGTCAAAACTTTGAAAGATATCTTATTCATCTTGTAGACTTTAGAAAACTTGATAAAAAACGTCAATTTGGTTTTAGATAAGCACGTTGTTGTTTTCACTGAATGGACCTTCAATATTTCGAAGTAGTCAATGTGAGTTTAGACTCTAATGATATAAACCTCGATCATGTTTTAATGCTCATAAGGAAATCTCTACAAATATCAAACTGATTTTCGATCGAGACGATATTCATTTGATGTCGTTCAGACAGATTATTTCGAATATTGAATATGTCAGAAAATGAAATACTAGAATATTTACAAGTTACCCAATGTACTTATCTCATGAAGAAGTTTGTTCATGGTAAGTTTTTAAGTCAAAATTCGCATGTCAATTTTCGACGTTAATTGAGAAGATTGACAGACTTTTCAAGGAAAATCCATTGAAAATTCTATTGCTTTCTATTACTCATCAAATAAACATAATCTCAGTAGATTGTATATTTGACATGTAGACAGATTTTATCGTTATTATTAGTCTTATGTTAAAATTATCGTTTTAAAGTAACATCTTCCTTGAACGATTTGCTAAAATATATAATACCCATGTCGCCACTTTTTTAACGACTGCGTCGCAGTTGCGCGTAACTGCAAAATTTTGATCATAACTGCGGCGCATTGATCGCAGTAAAAAATCGATGTATTCGACTGCGACGCAGTTATGCGTAACTGCGAAAAAAATATCGCAGTTACGCGTAACTACGTTGCAATTTGATCGTAGTCAAACATATGGGTAGGCACGTTGAAAATGATCTATGTTTGAGAAGAAGAGATTACACTAAAATTATCTTTAACAGTTTATATAAAAAACTGGGACCAATGAGGATTGAAAATTATTTATTTTTCCCGAAGAAATATATTAAAATTTGACCATGTACATGTTGTTTGAAAAGTAAATTAAGTAGTTATATCGGTTCTCATTGTGAAAACTTGCAAAGATATGTTCGATATAAAAAAGAATAATATCATGTTTCTTTTTCTGCCGAAGTCAAAATCGAAGAAATATTCATTGAAGCATGTTAAATTATGCTTTTCTCTCTCTCTCTCTTTCTTCATGGAGGTTTCAGTCATGTTTGTAGGTAAGGAAAATTTTGAACTTAACCTGATAAATGAGATAAATTGAATAGAACGAAAAAAAAAGGTGACACAGAATAATATATTGGAAGTAGTATTAATGTAACTTCAACATATTCGTTGATCATACACTGTTTAAATAACTTAAGGCAACTTTTATACGTACCACTTATGTATGTATAGTCTGGTAAAGCGACACCAAAAGCACTTTTTATGTTTTTCTTTCAATATTTTGTTTAGTTTGAATTTTTTTCGTTCTACCAACATCATATATATTCCAACTTGATGGAATTATTTGACAATTTTCAAGTTGAATAAATAAAATCTGTTCAAATTATATTTTCTTCGACGAAAATCAATAAAGAAAAGGATATATAGAAAGTAAGAATGTGTTTAAATATTTTTTCATAATAATCGGACGAAATATTTATTTGTAAAATGTTCATGTCAATAGTTAAATTAATATTAAACAATTCATTTTAATTAAATTGTTTAATATGAAAATAAGAATATATTGTTAATAATTCGAAGATATTATTAAGAAAATACATAAAAATCAATGCAGAACAAATTTGTATTTATTATCTTTGACTCTTTTTATTTTCATTCGAGATAAATTTTTATAAATCGGATTGAAAATTCCTTTTTTTTTGTCTAAAAATATTTTTAAATGATTCAATAATTAAAGATTTTGTTTTTAGAGATATTTAAAAAAAATTTTTATTATTAAATATAAATAAAAATGTATTTTCGTCGATATCGTTTATATAAAATTTTGCCTATTTTAATTTGTTTAATTATTATTTTATGTACCATCTATAATTCATTATTTAATTCAATAAAAGAACAATCATTTATTACAAATAAAGAAAGAAAATTATCAATATCATTTGATTTAAAGAAAGATTTTGAAGAAATTTCTGAAAATTATCCACCATTTTATATTCGTTTACCAAATTTTTCTGATGATGAAGCAAAAAGTTGGTTTTATAATTCAACATATTATAAAATAAATTCAAAAAAATGTCCAAATGAATCCTGTGAACAAAATGGAGTTTTATTTAATGATATTAAAGAACATATTATAGTTAAAATAGCTTTTGTTAAAGATGGTCTTTATTTAAATGATGATTGTGGTTATAATTATGGAGATACAGCTGTTAGAAGAACATTTCAACATGATAATGAAGCAACAGTTATTTATGATAAAGCAATTATTTATACAGTTCCTGATGGTTGGAGTTTTCAACATTTTCTTGATGGAATTGGACCAAAATTATCTCATTCAAGATCTTATTTAGATAAATATCCGGATGCTAAAATAATAATAATAAGGGGTGCTCGATTTGATCGATCTGTCAAAGAAATTTGGTCAATGCTTGGTGTTATTTTATTTGTTTAATTATTTATAAGAATTTTAAAAATTCGTTCTATTTTTAGGAGTTGAAGAATCTTCAAGAATAATTCATTATACAGGAAATATGAAAGTTGGTGCTCATTTATTGATAAATCCATGTCGTACTCCTGGTATTCATCCTTATTTATGGCATAATGCACGTGAAATGTATTGGTCAATATCAAATATATCAAAATCATTAAATGAAAAAAAGAAAATTAATTTTATTTATATTCAACGTACATCAACTAATGCAATGAATGGAGCTCGACTTATTTTAAATGAAGAACCATTTATTGATTTATTAAAAGAATATTGTATAAAAAATTCATTAAATTATATTCAATATGATCATTCAAAAGATACAAATCATATTAAATATCGTATTGAACTTTTTTATAATGCTCGATATATAATTGGTGTACATAGTGGAGCTTTATCAAATATGAATTTTGCTCAATCAGGAACAACAATTATTGAAATAATGCCATTTAGATCAAGTACAAGTTATCTTCCAATGACTTGTTCAATGTTTAATCCTGATGATCTGAAAGCATGTGCTGGTTATATATTATATACTCAATCTCAATTACTTAATCAAACTTATTGGATTTTACCTACTGTTGTTAATGATCAAGGAAATATGAACCTTGATTTAAATAGATTCAAAAATCTTCTTCAACGTATTTAAATCTTTTTTTTTTTTAGTCATTTATAAAACAATAAATATTCATTAAATTTATTTTCGTCAATTTAAATTTGTTTTCTTTTAATAATAATTATCGTCGATTTTTTCCACGGTTAATAGGAGGTTGTTTAGCAGGCACACTATCAGAATCAGATGATTTATCATCAGATTCTGTACTTTCTTCTTCACTTGAATCAGCTAAACAAGAAAAAGAAAAAGAATTTTTATTTCTCATTGAGATATTTAAATTAATTCTATAAAAAAAAAAGATCTTACTTGTTTCATCGGAATCTTTTTTATTATTTTTTGTATTTATAGTTGATGGTGATGGTTTATTGATAGGTGATGGCTTATTAATAGGTGATGGTCTATTAATAGGTGATGGTCTATTAATAGTTGATATTCCTGTTTTTGGATTCGTTGTATTTATTTGAGGTCGTGTTTGAGCTAAAGTAATACCCGAACGTGGTGTTCCTTGCGTTATTGTTGTTATTGAACGTGTTGGAGTTTGTGTTGATGATAAATGTCCTTTTATTCCTCGTGATCCATTTGTTGTTTCACCAGGCAAGGTCTTTGCTATTTTATCCAATTTATCCTTTCTTGCTTGTTTTTCTCCTTGCAATGCTTGATTTATGTATGATGGTTGATCGTGTTGTTGTTCTTCTTCATCGTGTTTTGAAACAGAAGATAAATCATATTGCGAACTTCTCTTAAATACTCGACAACAGCAGTAACTAAGACGTTCTCTAAATGCTGAAAATCCACTAATTTGAGAATCGCGTATTAAAGTATCCTCGCTTGATGTATTTGTCGTCATTTCAGACATGATCAAATGAAAATGTCAATTATGAATAAATCAAGTTACGCATGAAAACACACTTATTTTATCATGTACGAAAAAGAGAGAAAGACACAGAAAGGAAGAAAGCAATAAAGAAATATAGATTGTTGATTATATTTTCGTTAGCATTGGCTGTTAGATCATCAAGCATCAATTCTCTTTTCTACTCTTCATTATGCTGCGATGGCCGAGTGGTTAAGGCGTCTGACTCGAAATCAGATGGGTTCTCCCGCGTAGGTTCGAATCCTACTCGCAGCGCTCGCCTTTTTTTTCTTGTTTTCCTCTTCTTGTTATACTATTTTCAGCATATCAATCATTTTATCTTGACTCATTTATCTCTTTTTTTTTTTTTTTCTATAGAGAAATAAGCAAAATTTGAAATGACGTCATTTTTTCTATTAAGAAAAATACGCAAATTAAGACAACTTTGAATACAATTTATTGAAGATTTTAGAAAGAAATTCTTTTATTATTAAAAATAAGAATAGTATTTTTAAAGAGATATTTCTTTGAAAAAAAAAATTCTTTAAATAGTCATTGACTGAAAACGATCTCGTTGATCATTATTGACATTTCTCCATAATTGATCAATACGAATGTTACTTGAAAAACCGAAATGTATTTCATAATATTGTAAAGAAAAATTTCTTTGATTAATTTATTTCTGATTTCATTCATCGTATTTTCATCACATTTATATGTATAGATGTCTTCTATTTCTAAACAGATGACAGACAACTACCATATTCATATTATCCAAACTGAAAGAAAAAGGAAGCATCGATTAATTAACTGATTATGTTTAGCCGTCTTTTTTATTTCATCAATATTCTACTACTATCTATTCACTTCCACAGATTCATCTATATTATTGCCACTTTTAGATTATATATTATTTATTTTTTACACATTTTGACATTAAAAAATCTATGAAAAAACAACTGAAAAAACAGTTTTAGCAAAACGGTACAACAAAGCCTAAACTTGTTTTCAAAAAGCGATGAGTGTGTTTCCGTTCTCTTAATAATTTTTCATTGAAATCAGATAACAAGCTGTGCTTTTCATCATTCATAGAAGTAATTTTAGGTTCATAAAACAATAATAAATTTAATCAGTTTGAAATCGGACAATAAGCTTAATTTTTGATAAAAGATTTCAAGAAACGTTTCATAAAAAGGTTTTTAAATTTTGTTTTGACTTTAATCGATCTTATTTCTAAAGAGGAACTCAAATTGTATTAATCTACGGAAAGATGAAACTTTTTAGGGTATACTTTTTCGCAGTCATCAAGCTCTTTTATGTAGTCAGGGCGTCGACCACCTACTGACCTTAGATCATTTCAAAAAAGTCAACATAGAGCTAATCAACCACATTGAATTCAGTGATGATGATCTTTTTTTCAGTTTAAGTCTCGTGTTAAGTAAATAGATGAAAACTATTGGAAATCTAACTATTGTCGGTATATAGCTAGCAGAAGACATTTTGAAAATTTTCATCTATTGACTTAACAAGCTCTATGTTGAGTTTATTTGAAATAATCTAACGTCAGTAGGTCGACGCCCTGACTACATGAAAGAACTTGATGATTCTTGAAAAGTATATCCTAAAAAATCTCATCTTTTCGTAGATCAATACAAGTTGAGTTCCTCTTTTGAAAATAAGAACGATTGAAGTCAAGACAAAATTTTAAAACTTTTTGATAAAACAATTCTTGAAGTCTTTGATCAAAAATCCATCTTATTGTCCGATTTCAAACTGATTAAATAGATGATCGTTTTATAAGTTCAAAATTGTTTCTATGAATTGAAAACGACAAAAATTCCTGAACATTTTTTTTCAACATGACTTTAGAGTTGTTTCGAATAGGAAACAAGAGAAAATAAAGCTGAAATGGTAATAAGATAAGACGTAAAAAAAACTAATGATCGATCGAAATAAGAGAGAAGTCTTTTAAACAATGAGATATATTTAGGCGCACAACTTCTCACAAACTTCGTTTCTGTATTTTCAGACATATATTTGTGATTGTCACAAATTGTGTGTTAAGAAAAAAAGAATGCTATCTTTAGCTAAAACCATGTTATTCATCATCGGACACAACTACAGAATTGAACAAAGCAAAAAAATCATCGATTAGCCGTGTTTAACCAGTCGTATTTTGATAAAAGCGGAGGCATGGATATCATTTTAAGAAATTCAACTGATCTTTTTCTTTCGTTTCTCCTATAAAATATTCTATTACAGATATGATTGATTTGTTTTTTGTTCAGATAAGCTAAATATAGACACTATTTAGAAACTATTATGCAACTTCTCATTTATTGTTTGAACCAATAGAATGACGATTTAAAGAGAGAGACAATAATTAATTGTGATCTTAAAATAAGATTTTATGCAAAGTTGAAATTAAGTTAATATATATATATATAAAGTATATCATTATTGATTTGTTTCTATCTAAGAAAACTAAAACGATAATCTCGTTTATATTTTTAAGATAAATAAATAGTTTTTTTTGGTTCATAGAAAAGTAAATATTCTAATATTGAATGGTGTAACTATATTAAAGATTATTTTTAGAAATTTTTCAGTTTTAAAATTGAGTTCTAAATATTCATTCGAATAAACAATTTTCTATAGAAAAAAACTTCCATTTGGTTAATTAAAAGTATTGTTTTAGTTAACGGTCAATTTTTTGAGATGATAAACTATCAAAGTCAATTATATATTTGATCTTTTAACAAATATTTTATATGAAAAATATTTCTTTCAAACAAATCAAATATAAAATATGGACATTGTTACAGATGACACAATTGGCAAATTTTCATTTTCAAAATGGATTGTGAAGAATAATCTTGAAAATGATTAGAAAGAAACGAAAATTGTTCAAATTATAGGTGCTTAACTATCCAGTGTATTGAATCATGTTAACAAGTGTTCAATATTTAAATTCTTATTTTGATAGATGAACTTTTATATAAAAACTTTCAATAAATTCATGAATATTACAATTTTTTAAAATGATTTCCTTTGATTAAACATAAAATATCAGTATTAACAAATATTTAAGAAAAGAATGAAGTGACGAAAATATTCACTAATAAGACAATAAGATTTTCCTCTATCTATCTTATTGATGATTTCATGATGCTTTTCAAACGAAAAAAAAATAAAGTTTTTTCTGTCTTTATCTATAAAATAAATATTAAAAATAAGTTTATTGAAATTATCTAAACAGTTAATCAGTTACAATAGAGATTTGAGAAAAAGGAATGAAAGAAGAAAAAAAAATCGTTTCTCCTGTCATAATATGATTTTATCTTGAAATAGATTTCAATAAAATAAAAAAATTCTATCCTATAGTAATTATCTCATCTATGTGTATTCGTTTGAAGAACACTTCTACAAACTATGATCAAAACAACTCTGTTAACAAGTTTTAACTGATATGAACATTCATTTATTTAATATAATAAATAATAATTAGAATATGTATTATTAGCACATACGACCTAATTACTTTCGATCAAATCTCTTTCCACATTGATTTACTGAGCTTGTTTCTACTACTTTTCAAAAAAAAAATATTATTCAAGAAGATATGATAAAAAAAAATGATACCAAACGGATTACATATTCTATCTATCGTTAATCAATTTTAATAAAAATGACAAAGATCAATAGTTATGTCAAATGGAACATGTTAATGCGCCTTGAATCAAGTATTTAAATAAGAAATAGTTGCTTTTATCTCAATACAGACATTTTTAAATTCGAAAAGCCTTTGAATATCTATTTTGTTTATATAAATGATGTCAATCGATCGTTTAAATATTGTTTTGATCGAAAATAGACATGATTCGAAATTTTGAACGATGGCATTTAGAATAATTTTTACCAAGGAACAAACTTTTTATTCATTTTCTTTTAAAATTTTATGAATAATTGAGAGTTTATCTTCTTTTATATAATCAACTTAAATTTTAAAAAAGTAATTTTTCTTGATAGGAATTCGACTTTAAACATAGGCTTTTATTAGGACAATCGTGATAAACAATGAGTTAGTCTTCTTTATTTAAATGCTTACAATTTTCATCATACATAAACAATTATAGATTTTATTTCTTATTCTTCTATATCAAATCCGGCTTTATTTTATTTAATCAATAATATTATTTATTCATATAATTCTTCATATATATCTAAACTCTTTTTATTAGCTTGAAGAAAGAACATACGTATCTATAATAGAGTCATCGGTCTGATCTCATCCATTAATATTATATTTCGTCTGAATAATAAGCGAGGTCAAGTCAAAGTTATTGACTTAACTATTACGTTTTTCAAAATCAAATATTAATGCATCAGCTTATTATCGGAAAGTACTCGAATAAATTTATTCGAATCAAGCAATAAATACATTAACTAATTGTTAATTTATGATTATCAAATGTAAATCTTCTCATCTATTAAAATAACTATCGTCTATTCTCGACATTTCTCTTCTACAATATCTATCTTTTACCTTTTTCTTGTAGGTTTAATGAAATATTATTTGTTTTATAATGATTGCATTATTTTTATATTGCCAAACATAACTGATATGATCATAAACATTCTCTTAATTAATATCTTTCTTCTATGAAAAATTTTAATATTCTCTTGATGTTTTTATTTGCTATTTCGTGAAAGATTTTATTATTTTATCTCTATGGGAAATAAATTAATTTTATTAAATCCTATGTTCTATTGTAGAATATAATAGATGTTAATACGAGAATAAAATTTTATATTTATTTAATAATATATTTGAATATAAAATAAAAGTAAAATGTCTCGTCGAGATTATAATCCATATTCATTTTTTTCAATTTAAATCTAGTTCATTAAAATATTCTATAATAATACATAATTATTCATTGGATACTTTTCGAAATTCATTAAAAAAAAAAGGAACTTTGTAAAAAAAAGCTACTATTCGTGATGGTGCTAATGGTAGTTTGAATATGCTTAAATTATATTTGGATGAAATAAATGAAAAATTTATTACCAGATTAAGTTAGTGATGATTTTGATTCGGTTAATAAAAAAAACTTTTGAATATTAGAAAATGAAAATCAACAAACCATGTTATTAAAACTTATGATTGAAATGAAAGAAATTTTACAAAATCTTTTCATCTTATCATGAAATAATATATTTATTTTTTCTTCAGTATTTGGTCAATTTGATCATAGTATAACCTATTCAACATTCATTATATTAACTTAATCATATTTATCCAAATTTAAATATATATTGAATAGATGATAATCATATTTTATTTTTTTTATTATATTCTAATTTATTAAATAAAATTCATATTCAATAAAAATTTTGTCGAAATATATCTAATTTTTTTCCATATTGGTCAATCATCACATTTACAAATTGAAGGACTTCAAAGAAATTTAACTCGAAATAAACAATTATCTTTTAATAAACTTATTTGTTCATCAAATACATATAAAACAAAATCAAGCACATTTGCTGATTTTAATATTGATAAATGATATTATTTTGATAATGAAATATTTATCTCAATATAAATTATAATTACATTTTATTTTACTTCATTATCGTTATCGTTTCAACAACAGTCTTATATCATTTTCGTCTTGTTTTATATTTTGTTTATGAATATTCATAAGAAATATTATTTATATGTAATATTTGCCATATCAAATCATAATTTATTAGAATATTCTCCTGAATTTTATATAGATAAACAAGTTGTTGAATCAATATGAACAAATCTATCTGCTTATTTTAATAAATGATTACTGTAACAAGACGAATAATTAGTTCGAAGTTTATTGATTATTAACATTAAATTAGAGAATGACAAAGACTCTATTTATCATCCAAAAGAAATGAGTCCATCTTAAAAAAATCAATCATGTCAAAAATAATTTCCAACATACTTGACGATAATAGTAGCGGCATGGTTACAAGTCGGCTAGCAGGAGTTAAATATCCGGAAATTTTTTCAAAGTATCTGCTGTTGTGAAGAACCTAATTAAACCATTGAAAAAGTTGCATCAAATAAAGTAAACAATGTCTTTTAAATATTTTTTCTTTTTCTATTTTTCACTAAATAAAACATCTACTGAACATTTTAATTAACAGATATATATTAATTAGGATTAGGAATCGAAAATCGTATCGATGAATTCTAGTCTAATTCATTAATTCAAATTGTTTTTCATACTATTTTACTAATACTCACATTCGTCGTCAATTTTCGAATAACGTCATCATTGTCAGTGAACAAATAATGACTGCTTGCGAATAGTCATTTGAGAAAAAAGAAGGATTGGGAAAGATCCTTCTTTTGCCATAGAAAGAGTACACTTTTATCTAATATATGCAAATGTCTTACAAATAGATATCAATAATTACAGTTCATATCAAGAGTAAGTCTATCCTCGATTTGAAGAAATCACTTAGACAATTCTATATGTTATATATTGATGAGAAGAGGATTGAATTCTTATAGGAGACAACAATGACTCAAACACGAACTTTTTCACGATTCTGAAAAATGAGAGACAATTCATTTTTAGCGTAACGGTTAATGTACATGTCTAGTCTGTAGATAATGAAACAAGATACTAGCAAGAACTTTTAACCAATCCTTATTTACTCATTTCAGATAAAAAACAAAAACCAATGTCACGTACTGTATGAGACCGGCAAAATCCTTCCCTAAGATTGAAATTTATTCAATATATATATATAATTCTAGCACAGAGCAGCAGTATTCACCTACTAAATGAATTTTATACATATGATCTTAAGCATACTGATATCGAGCTGCTATTAAACATAGAAATCCTCTTGTTAGATTTAAATTTCATTTGAGTTCTGCTAGAGAAATAATTCTCAGTAGAAATATTTTTTGTTGAAAATAAGATATACGAAAGATAGATAGATAAGAGAAATAATCCGACTCTTCGATCCTATTGAAAAACTATTTTGAATATGGATAAATTTGAACGGGTGGGTTCTGTATGATGTTGATGGAAACATAGAAGAGGATCTTGTCAGTAGGATCCGACAAAGGCAGTACTCTCCTGGACTTGTCTGAATTTTCAATAGAATGAATAATTTAATAATAAACAAGATAAATAAGTTAAATTATATTTAAAATAAAATATCAATATGATATAAAGTAATAAATAAATATAAAATCTGTTTTAGACGAAATAACAATTCTCTAAATATATTTTTTTCATATTAAGGTTGTTACGTTCGAAGATAAATATAATTTTAATTAAAATATATTAATTAGAATTGTTTGAGATGTTTATTAATGTATTGCTAATAGATACCAACATGTTTTTTTCTTTTTTTAAATGAATTTATTTTTATATGATTAAATATTTAAAAAAATACGGCTTGTTTTTGTAATTGATTAAGAAAACAAAAAAAATATATTTAAATATGAAATGAATTTAAAATCAAAATCAAACAAAATAAATTAACTTAGATCAATAAGTGGTTCATCTGTATTGTTTTGATCAAGAATTAGTTTTTCATCTTTAGAATTAATTTGATTTGAATTAATTGATGAACAAGAAGACGAAGAAGAGGAAGGTTTTCCAAAAAATTGTTGAACAGTTTTCGTTAATAAAGTTTGACTTTTTGTTTGTTGATTATTATTATTATTATTATTATTTCCTGTTAAAATAAGCATGTCATCATCATTTTCGTCTGTTTCAGTTCGTTTTTCTGTTTGAAGAATAAATAAATCATCTTTGTTTGAATTTGATTCCTTGTTTGATGTTTCGTTATGAATTAATAAATTCATATTTATATTTATATATATTTACGCATGTTTAATAATACAAGAATACTTTCTTTAAATATTTGGACGAATAAAAAACAATCTTTCATTCATGATGAGTGTCGCTTCTAAGTAACAATAAAAAAAACAAAAGATAAATGAATGCAGATCGCATTTGAGTTTGACTCTAGTCAGAAGTGAAATACGAACTTTCGAAGATTAATTATGGAATAATGAATGATTATTTAAAAAGTGAATTATCATTTATAGAATAGTAGTGTTTGTCATCAAGAAAAATTCCAATAATATATGTGATCATGTTATAAATAAATCGGATCGATTGAGAATTTTATTTTCGATCTCAAAATGATTGTCTATTGTTCGCTTCGATTGATATATCTCATTTAGTAATGAATGATCTCTAAATTTAATTCATTTTTTTCATTATAATTATATTCAAGTTTAAAAGCAAACAGACAAACAAACTTGACAAAAAAAGATCTTATCTCAGATTTGTTTCGGAAAAAATTTTAACTACTACTAAACATGATAAAAGAGATAATATCGATTGAATAGAAATATTTCAATGTTATATTTCATTGAATATTTCCCGAGTATCACACTTCTAGAGTCATTTCCGATAGAAAATACAATTGTTTAAAAGAGTAGATCGAGATAGGAACTACAAAATTGGTTTAGATGTTATTTTTAAAAATTCCTAAAATAAAATGAAAAATTTTTTTTTACAATTAATACATAACATGAACATAGTTGAAAGAAAAAGATAATTATAAAAGATTGACGAAGTCGTCGAAATAATCTTAATAAAAATCTTATTTATTTATTTATAATTCAATTCTCTATAGAATTGATAAATTGGATGATGATTTGAGTTGTTACCTGTGAAGTAGATCGATAATTATTCAAATAAATCGATCAACAATATATTATTTTCATTTCATTTAAATGATCTCGAAAGACGAAAAACAAATTAAATCAAATAAATTTTTTTCATTTATTATTAATCAAACAAAGGATCGATTTATCGTTCGATAAATAAATATCTTCAAAATGAACTTTAAATTATAAATCTTCTCATTTCAACCTATTTTTAATGACTTTTTATAGTTAAGTCATGAAAAGATAACATTGAAAGTTTAACAGACAAGATATTAGATTAAAAGAAACTGAGTGACAATACCCATATGATTCGTGTTGCTATCGATGCATTCACTATTTGAAATGAATGTCATCATCTTCGAAAAACAAAATAAATTTATATTTAAACATAATATGATTTTGTTTGATTTCGAACATTTATTTTTCTTAATTATTATCTTAATCATTTATATGAGAAAACAATTTGAAAAGGCTTATCAACAAGTTAATTTTTATTATTTTTTATTATTGAATAATAAAATCTTTTATTATCTTCTCTAAAATATTTATTAATTTTTGATTAAATTTATCAAATAAAATAAAATATTAATCAAATATCAAATCGATTAGATTACCAGCATTCGAATTTTCTTAGATTAAATAAGACAAAAGTTATCGAAATTGATAATAATAGTAATAATACTATGTTTGTTGATATGATAAATATATTTATATTAATGATTGATCTCATATGAATACGATTCATTTTTAATTAAACTTTTTAATAAAAATAATCGAATTATTTAGAAATAAATATTTTCAATATTAGCGTTTTGAAAATCAACAATAACAAAGATAAAGATTTACTCATAAATAAAGCATATCTCTTTAGTTGGGAAACCTTTCAAATAAAGGCTAAAAAAGTTATAATTAACAAAGGATAGGATCGCATAAGAACCCAATTTTGGCCCATAGGAATTTTTTCATATCGAATCCTACACAATCGTATATAGAATACAAGAACTTTGATTGGCGAGTATTTTGATACCAGATTTGAGCCACACTTCAGGTACATTTCAGGATTTCTTCAACAATATATATTGATCATATGGATATGCTAAATTATCTCTTGAACTCCATGAGACATGTATGTCAAACTAAACTACTTTGAATCTAAGTATAGAGAAAATCGGAAGTACTTCAAAATGTATTTGATAGCCCAAATTTAATGGCTATATTTATATTCGAAAGTCAACTTGTCAATGTATCGTTTTAGAGAAATTCAGGATATGAAAGAACCCTCCTGAGAATACATAACGATGATACCATAGTCTTTCAGATCAATTTTCAATATGTGAAATCAGGAGAAGCCAGATTCTATGATAGCTTATTAGATAGCATTCTTCACGAGCTACAGCACTCTGTAACTTGAAAATTATTAAAGGTGGACCAAAAGAAGTCAAGGGCATATTGTAAAATTGTGTCCATTTTTGTATAAGAGATTTGGGCGTCAGTGCAGATATGGGGTGTGGATGAAGAGCAGACCCACACTCATACCCATACCCACACCAACACCCTTCACAGATGAGTAAGTCAAAGGTTTGTAAGCTCCGAGTCAAGTGTTGTCATTGAACCAGCACCTCAAGTCAAGTTAGACTTCACTTCAATTTCTCATCTGTGATTAATTGAGAGAACGTTATTGATATAATTCACATCAGATTTGACTAAAAGTCCTCTGTTTAGCCTTTTCTGTTCGACACCGTGGAAATGCAGTAGACTCTACATGAATGTCTTTTTAAACAGAAAAAAGTAAGGTGCCAATGAGTCTTACAGATATGAGTGCGACATGACTGATAATTATCTAACATAGTTCACATAAATAAGATGCCCACAATTATATGAATCGTCTATCATATTTGATATCTTATTTGATTTTTGAAAAGAATGCAATGACTACAAATGACATCATACTTCTTAAAGATCTATTAAAACAGTATGTACGTATTTTATTATCGTGATTTGACTTTTCGGATTGTATAAACGATAGGATTTAGTCATTCATCCAAAGGGCCACCTAGTAAGGTATCATAGAATCTGGCTTTTCCTGATTTCACATATTGAAAATTGATCTGAAAGACTATGATATCATCGTTTTGTATTCTCAGGAGGGCTCTTTCATATCCTGAACTTCTCTAAAACGATACATTGACAAGTTGACTTTCGAATATAAACATAGCCATTAAATTTGGGCTATCAAATACATTTTGAAGTACTTCCGATTTTCTCTATACTTAGATTCAAAGTAGTTTAGTTTGACATACATGTCTCATGGAGTTCAAGAAATAATTTAGCATATCCATATGATCAATATATATTGTTGAAGAAATCNTTTTTGGAGTAAAATTCAGAATAGCATTTTCGGAATTGTTTATCAATAAATGAGTTACATGTGGGTGTGGGGTGGGTGTGGGTGGGTGTGGGTGTGGGTATGTAGAGATGATTGTCTTCATTCACACCCCACTCACACACCCACACCCACACCCACACCCACACCCACACCCATCATCATCATCATCACCATCATTATTTTCATTGATTTTAGTTTCATTTGAAGTTTCTAAAATATATAAATCATCTTTATTAAAATTTTATTGATTGCTTAATGTTTCTTTTTGCATAGATAAATTCATTTCTATTTTATTGTTCGCAATCTAAAAAGATTTTTCTTGAAATATTTTAACAATTAGAAAAAAAAAACTTTTTGTTACTAATAATAATTGTCGTATTCAACATTGAATGCAAAACTACAATCTGTTCTAAAAAAAACGATTAATAATTTCATATATTGACTCATTCAAAAAATATAAAATATCTTTTTAACAATCTTTTATTCATGCTGAAAAAAGGAATTTATTTTCAATATAATTCTCTTAATAGATTTAAATATTATCCGTATAGATCTTTGAAAGATCTTAAGTTAATTATCATTTAAATTTTTATGAAATGAAACTTTTTATTTTTATTTCTTGGATTCAATAATTAAAAAGATATTTTTCAGATAATTTCGTTTTGACTCTAATAAGTTTATTGATAAATTATAATTACTTAACAGATTGATAAATTAGTTTGATTTTTAATAAAATAAATAAATAAATTTTTTAATTCTGATAGAAATAAATAAGAATAGAAAATAATATTTAAATGAAAGACTATGTTGATTTAATTATCAAAAATAAACTAATCCAATATTATCTATCGAATATATGACAGAAAATTGTGAATTAAAAGAAAAATATTTATTAAAATGAAATTTGTTTTATTTAAAAAAAAAGAATTATATTTCATAAAATAAAAACAACAGTGGAATTATTTTAAAAATTAAAAAAAGTTAATAATAAAAAGAGATCACAGTTAATGTTAATTAGCTTCTTCTTGTGGCACCATAATAAATTTGAAAACATGTTGTTGTTGCTGTTGAAGAAATTGATTTTCTGTTGAATGATTTAATGTTGTTTGTTGTTCATATTTTTCACAAAATGTTAATGATGGACAATGAACACAATCAAAACGAATTCCAATAACATCATTTTGACAATGATCACATCTTAAATATTCAAAAAAATAGAAAGAAAAATTTCTTTATTACAATCGAAACTAACTTGACATCATCATGATGAATAACAGGATTTTCTAGTTTAGGTAAATCAACAATAATTTATCTCGGTTGATTTGTTGCTGCTGCTGCTGCTGTATATTGTTGTGCTTGTGCCCAATTAAATTTAGCTCCACAACCTGATTGAACATTGCCTCCATGTGCATCTTGACCGCGTATCATTGAATCACAGCCTTCAAGACGTTCAACAACTCGTTTACATGATGGACAAATACGACAATTTTCCTATTTATATTTTTCATCATGCATTAATTCTTCATAACGATGACGTAAATCACGATTACGATTTTCATTTTCTGTATTTTTACGATTAAAATCAGCTAATTGAGCTGCATATGCTGAATCTTGTTCAGCTCTCATTGTTGAATAACGATTACGTTGTATTGAAATAAACTAAATGAAAATATTAAATTAAATGATAAAAGATAACCTGTTTGACACTAAAAAAACCATCGTTGAGTGATTTGTGGAAGTTGATCACATGTTGTATAATAATGATATTGTTGATTACAAGGTGAACAAAATTCTTTATTACAAAGTGGACAACTAACTCTAAAACGTTCATTTGGATCTTCAGCTTCGATAATCCAAGAACATTCTTGATTCGGGCATTTAATAATACCACGAGTACGATTTGAATAGGCATCAAATGTTTTTCTCATTTGATATTCTCGAATATTTTTTAATTCCTCTCGTGGAATTCGGAGTTGATTGAGTTCACTATCACGCAGTGGATTTGTACAAAGTTCACATGTTAAAATTTCTCCATTTCACATTTTTGTTTGACATGATTGATAATAACATGAATAGCATAATTTATGACTATCAGAACAATCAAATACATAAATATCATCATAGGGACGACCTTCCATGCAAACATCGCAATCATGAGTTGCAATTTCAATCGGAAATACGGGTCCTATATGAATTTTATTGTTGAAAATAAAAAAAAATTATTTACCAAAAACAGCAAGAGCTTCAATAATTGACCATGGTTCTAAATTTGATAAAGAATTTTTCTTTTGTTCTTGAATAAAAAGACAAATTTGATCTTTTGTAAATGGATATTTTGTTCTTGTTAAAATAAAATTTGTTAATTTTTCATTTTGAGAGGTTCGATCATGTTGACATTGTATTGCATGATCTTCTAATTGTTTAAATGAATATGGTAATTAACAATATTCCCAAGGTATAAGATCATCACATAATTCAATATGTTCATTAAAATTTTCGTTTAAATCAACATAAAAACGACCTTTGGAACAAAATGGTCTTTGTTCACTTTTAACAAGCTTTAAAAGGCGGTCAGATAATCGATGCTCAAGTGGAATTAATGATATATCATATTTAGATAATTGATGATCACATAATCTTTTATGACATACAGATGTTTCACCATTTCGAACAAATTCATCCATTGAACGTTGAAGACAAACTGTACAATGATAATGACGTAAATGACAAGGTATTTCTCTGTATAAACCATCTTCCTTGTTTATTGAACGATTACTATAAATAGAATGAATATTAGTTTTAAAATCAATAATTATTATTTTATTTTTCTTTACCATGTTAAACATTTAAGATTTTTTCTTGTTAATGAATTTGGTAATTGAGCATCTGTTTGAGCAACACATGCTAAAACATGATTTTCATATTGAGATAAATCAATTGATTTAAAGCAAACGAAACAATCTTTCTTTGGATTTTTAGTAATATCAGATGAAGCTTTACTATGATTTTTCTTATCCTAAATAATTTATTGTTCAAAAATAGCAATCTTTTAACAATTAAAAAATTTTTTACTTTTTCAGTGTAATTAAATGTTGTTCGATGATGATGATGACTGTCATAAGAATTATTAAGAGAAGAAGTCGGTGAACATGATTGAATATAATTAATATATTCAGATTGATTAATATATTTTGAACATATTGTACACAATTTTTTGCCATCGTTCTAATAAATCATTTTTTTTTATTTTCACAAATAATTATCAAAAATAAAATAATTTTTACTTGTTTTGAATATTTATTTTTATTAATATTTAAATTTTGATTATTTGATCGTTCTGATGAACAATTTATAATATGTTCTTCATATTCTACTTCATTAATTAATGCATAACATAAAGTACTTTTTTTTTTGTTGATGTTTCTTTGAAACTGAACATCATAATGAAATCAATTTATTAAATTAAAGATCAAATTTTCATTAAATAATAAATAAATAATTACTGTTGAAATATCTTTTCAATATTGATTTTTATTAAAAGAACATTCAGTTGATAAGTTAATGTTTGATCTTTGATTAAAATGTTGATCACCATTTGAACAAGTTCCAATATGATGTTCATATTCAGATTTATCAATATCTTTCGAACATAAAATGCAACGTTTTTTTATTTTTGATTTTGAATTAGTTTCTTTTTCAATGTTTTATTCAATCTAAATATTTTAGAAGAAAATATAACATAAATTAACCCTTTACCCCCCATAGTGGTTCCAGAACAGTTACTAGTGAAATAACTATTGAAATAGAGTATTGGTTGTTTAAGTAGGTTACTATTATTATTAGATTGAACAGGTACGCTTCCATATGTGCAGTACAATATGGCAACTCCAATTGCCATTGGGGGGTAAGGACATGAAAAATTTTATTTTCAATCTTTCGTCAGTAGCATATAGAGTTCGTAAAAATACAATTTAATTTGTTCATTTCAAGAATAAAAAATAGAAAAAATAACAATAAAAAGATATTTTCTTTTTGTAACACTATATGCTGGTCTAAAATCATTTTTCAATATATATAACATCTATTTTTCTTCAATTAATCTAGCATAAATGAAAGCATATAATTAAAGTTTGTTTTTCTTCAGCTTTGAGTATGATAAGAATTAAAACAATTATGTTTGTAATGTACACATAAATGTATTTTACATTTTGAACATAACCACTTTGTTCGCTGTTGGCATCCATTATTCTTACAACGTAAGCTGTGTTTTACCGGTTCAAATATCGGCCAATGGCCAATACCGTCATATCTTTGTACATTTAATGCTGATTTTTTTGATTCACGTTTGATTTTCTTTCTTCTTGATAATGCATCATTTTGATTTTCATTACTTGATGAGTCTGAAGAATCAGAAACTTGTTTAGACTGTAATATAGGTCTTGTAAGAGATAGTGGTTTTTGTAATAATATACGAGCTATCGTAAGTTTAAATTGGAAGATACGTTCCATACGCCAATTACCATCACGACCTAATATATGCTTAGATAACAACCACGAATTTAATAACATAAGATCGAATATACGCCAAACGAGACGCATGTACCATTTTTTTGATCTAAATGGTATTGGATGTAAAGAACACAACATGTCGGTCTTATCAACACCACCCATATGTTTATTATATTGTTTGATAATCTGAGGTGTTGGTGTATTGATTTTTTTCTTTTGATTTTTATCCCATCGTAATAACTGTTCAATGGGATCTATTCCAATATAATTCGATCCTATCAAGACACGCTTTGAATCTTTCCATGAAACAACTATACATTGTCGATCATTGGTTACTCGATAATCGTAAGAACCACGCTCCATTTTGTTCATTTGTTTTTCCGATGGTAATGGACAGTGCTTTATCCGATTTTGTCTTAAAGTACAAACAATACCAAAACCCAATTCAGTCATCTTTTTAATTAATGCCACTGATCCAAAATAATTGTTAACGAAAACTTTGGTACCTTGTGGAACATCTGCAACTAAATCAATTACTACCATACCAGAAACGCCAAAACGTTTTATATCTTGCTTTCGGTTTTCAATTTCTTCATTATTAACTACAAGTGTATTATGTAATCGAGTTCTTCGCATTAATATGTCTGCAGAACTTGTTGTTATTGGTTTTGAGACAGCTTTATTAGCACCTGTATACAAGTTAATTTTGTATACATAGCCAGATACCCCACATTTTGACCATAGTTTAAACCCATGCTTTGATGGTTTATTTGGCATATATTGTTTCAGTGATGACGGAGCCGTTTTACCTTTATAACTGACCATTTGTTCATCAATCGAAATATATTCTTCTTGATCAACCAAAGCTGTGCAACGTTCATTAAAAAAATCAATTAATGGTTGAACTTTGTCGCATTTCGTTTCATTGATAACATTGTTGTTAAAATGTAATGTTCGTAATAGTTCATCTATACGATTGCGTGATATATTATTTGCAACAGTTTCTTGCAATGATAATGGTGACCAATAATCACCTTTACTAGGTAATTTAATTAATGATGCATAAAATAAAAAACCAAGTAATTGATAAAAATCTGAATCGGTCATTGGTTCTTGTTTTAAATTTTGTTGTGTACGATATAGATTTGATTGCTGAACTATATAATTGACAATGGTTGGTGTTAAAAAAAGTGTAAAAATATCAATTGGTGATGGTGAAGATGGTAAATTCACATTTTCAGATAATCCAAATTTTCCTTCAAAATCTGGTATATCGGTTTTCAAATTACTTTTTATCCATTGATCGTAATCCAATGAATTGCTATCATCTAATATTCCGTCATTGTCTTTGTGATCAATCGAGTCGATATCATTGGACTCACTAGATAAATCACTAGATGAGTATTTTGACCATTTATCTACATTATCATCGTTAAAACCATAATGAGTATCAGTATCAGAATCACTATTTGTATCTGTAACTTGATGTTTGTATCTAATTTTATCATAGGAGTGTTGGGAACTTTCATCCGAACTCGACATTATCTACAGATAATTTTGAAAAAATTGAAAAAATTTAAGAATACATTGTTCACTGTTAACTTGCTAGATTACTCACCAAAAACTTCGTATTCTGTAGAAGGTTATCTATGATAATATTTGTTGCACAATGCGAAAACAATGTGACAGTAGAGAGATGTATAAGAAAAAAATGATCGAATAAACTACGATTTTTTTTAAATTGTGATTACACGATAAGCGAAAGATGTGTGACAGCCTGTTTCGCATAATTTATTTGATCTTCGTATACCGTTACACTTTCTTTTAAAACAATTACATTGATTGTATTTCTGTGGATCCATCAACTGTACACGATGTAATTGTTTTCGTTTCTCTTTTATCTTTTATCTTTCCACATTGTTTCGTTTGTGAGGGACGGATGTATGTTCACTTTATTGCTGATAGTATCCTTTTGTACCAGAGACCAAAAATAAAACACATCTGAATAATTTTCCGAAATATTCTTGAACTGAAGTGAACCAAAAATGGTTGTTGGAAACACCAGAATGAACTGAACGAAACTCCAACCAGTAAAACTCAATTTAATTCAATTGCCGACAAGAGTATTGAAAAAAATATAGTAACAAGCACTACATTTCATATGAAAATAAAATTTTACTTTTCATGTCCTCACCCCCCAATGGCAACTGGATTTGCCATTTTATATCGCCCAATCTCTTATGCGACTAATACCTTTGGAAATTTTCAAGCACATTTCTTTCAATAGCAGCCGCTTCCTACAAAATTTATCACATAGGATAATAATAGGCTATACATTTCTCGTAGGTAAAAACAACAAAAAAAACTAAGAGGGTCCTTTTTATCAAAAGTCGCACGATTCGTGTCTTTTGTAAGTCATAAATCTCGAAAACAAAGCAACGCCGCAGGGTCGTAAATTTTGTCAATCGATAGCTTGGGAAGTTCCCTACACATAACATCTAAAGAGTTTTTAATATCTAACGTGTTGAATTTTCAATGATGTTCCTAAAAAATGGCAATTCCAATTGCCAATGGGGGGTAAAGGGTTAAAGACTTCTTTATGTTAAAATATTCGATAACAAATATTTTGACTCGGAAACGATTCAAAATAAGAGAATATGAAATTATTTTATTATGTATTAGAAACTTTTCTCTTGCTAAGCAAATAAGACAAGAACGATTTATTTCACTTATTTTTTTATTTCTATTGACATATTTTTTGATAAAAGAGATTTAACTTAAAAAAAAAGAAAGTTAATTATTACTTGTATTGAGTCAATTGATTCTTGATCAATAGAGATTTTTTCATCACTTGAACAAGATGATATATGATTTTCATAATCCGATTGATCAATATCTTTCGAACATAAAATGCATTGTTTTGTATTCTTTTTGTTCGAAAGAATTGCTTGATTTTGATCATTCTAATTATTTCGAAAAATATTAATATTACTAAATAAAAAGGTAAACATAGATAACTTTTTGAGATAACAATTTAATCGTTGATTTTTCATTTGAATCTTTCGTTCGATTTAATATATGATCATCAATAACTGATGGTGTATAATTGTTTGAACAAGATGATACACGATCTTCATACTCACATTGATCAATTTCTTCGGAATACAAAACACAACGTTTGGTTTGTTTTTCATTGAAAGTTGTTTGTATTTTTGAAGAATTTTTACTTATCTTTAAATTTTAAAATAAATTATAAATAAACATAAATGATTCTTACTTTTGGCGAAGATATTTTATTCTTTAAGTTTTCCTTAAAATTATGATTAACTTTGCTTATTTTTAAATTATCATCTGAACAAATTGACACATGATTTTCATAATCTGATGGATCAATATCTTTAAAACATAAAATACAATGTTTTCTTGTTTCTCTTTTTTACAAGAATTTGTTTCCATTGATTCTTCTCGTATAGTCTAATAAAGCATAGATAAAATATTCATTAAATTAACTAGAAATTAATCAAACCTGTGTTGGTGTTTGTGCTCTTGGTGTTGAATATCTTCCATTATTATTGTCATCATGATCATCACATGATTGACAACGATTGGTTAAATTGTCAAGAAAATTGTCACAATTTGGACATTTTCTTTTATTCGATGATAAACATGAATTTAATGGAGGATTTTCTTGTTGATCACATGTTCTAATATGTTCTTGATATTCTTTAATAGATACTTGTTGATTGCACAATGGACATAATTTTTTCTCAGTTGATGATCCTGGTCGACAATTAGCTATATGTTGACGAGTCTCTTTATCAGATATCAGTTGATTACATGCTACACATCGACTCTAGCCAGGGAAATGACTGCTTTTCATAATAAATTATTGAAAACAATTTTATAGGTATTTTACTAAAGAGGTTCAACTTTTATAAAATTCTGGCAAATCGAAAAATATTTGTTTCTTTATTTTAATTTCGATTGACTGATGCAAAACTTGGAAAAAAGCCTATTATTTCAACAATTACTGGTTCATATTTACGGCCAAACAAACTTTTCTCTTTGAAGATGTAGCATGTTTATTTGAATTATTTTTAATAAAAATCACACAAAATTTGAATTTTCCAAAAAAAGAAGGAAAAATGTGTCAAAGAATTGAATTGAACATGAGAAATATCGAAATCAATGTACTCTTAAATTGAAATTTTCAGGTCGACGACTAGGTATTTCGTACACGGTCGTAAATCACCGTATACGGGCTCAGTATATAAGATCCGTAATTGAGCGCTTTTCTTTTCCAGGAGTCGCAGCAGCCTGTATCTCAAAATCAGGACATTTTCAGACTTTTTTGAATAGTTAAGTAAGGGATTAAATCTTCAAAAAGTGAATAAAGTATTGGTAATCTATTATAATAACCACATGTGTTGCTTCGATGAGCTTCATCAATGATGAAGAAAAAATTAATAAATTAAAGAAATAATTTTTCGTTAAATGCGTGTTTCTAATTCTGTTGTTTTTGTTCTCGGGGCTTAGGATGCATTAGTCGCAGTCACGACTGCGTGACTTGAATATTCAGTTCGACTGTAGTGGCGCATCCCTATTCTTTCATATGATTTATCCTAGTTGGTGTTCTGTCTCCGTCTATATAAATGTAATTATATCTACGCATATATGATGTTAGTTTATTGTAGAGTTTTGTTTCTTTACTTCATGTCTCTTCTATTAAAACACTTTTGAATGCTGAGAAACAGCAGCTTTGGTTCAAAATGCTTTCTTAAATTCAATAACACCGACAAAGAACATTCCCAAATGGCTTCAAGAGGTCAAACAAGAAGATCGTTCCGGTTTACAGGATGTAAAACAGATGATATTAGTTATACCGACGGAGGATAATAGATGGACGTCAAAAAATAGAAAAAAAAATTCACGATTTAAATAAAAATAAAGTTGAACACTATTTTTCTTTTTCGTGAAGCTTATCAAAGACATGTATCTCCTTAAAATAATAAGAAAAATAAGAAAAAAATTAAAAATCACGTATATCTAGGCCCTATTGGTAAAAAATCATAAAATATCAGGACAAAATCAGGATTTTTGGTCAAAATCAGGGAAATCGCGACATTAAAAAAATCAGGAAAAAATCAGGAAAGTAGCACTGCTGCGAGGCCTGCTCTTCTTATAAAATCATTTACAACCGTACCTATTCGATCTGGGTTAGCTATTCTCGAATCGAAATTTAACTTTGAGAAAAAATTCATAGAAATACTATTTTATAAATAAACTGAGGTGAAAGAACAAAGAAAACAAGAGCTATCCAGATCAAACAGACACAATCGTAAACAATATTATACCAAGAAATACCGCGATATCCAGAGAGCATAACGGCATTAGGACACAGAAGCTAGAGGACATTGAATCCAAGAATTTCTGGACCCGGTTGATTAAAATCTTTTGAACTCGGACCTTACTGATCGATTTTTCTGGAGTTCAGAACCGAGATGCCAGCAGGCCAGCAAAAAAAAACACGTTCAACTAATGTTTCATATCGAACAAATCTCATAACTTTGCATTGACATATCATCGTAGTTTCAGATATTTATTTCTATTTTCATAACGGTAATGGAATAATAAACTCTTCTACATTATAGTAAATTAATGCAAAAAACATACTATCATAAATTTTTCTCTCTAAAAAAAGATGTAAATCAGGTCAATAAATTTGGACTGATCTAGTTTTTTAAGTCTGGTTTCATATAACATGAACGAATCAGGAAAGACTACAAATTCCAAAATTCACTTGAACTGGGAGACCGGCCTGTTGGTATCTCTGTTATCAAACGAGCTTGTTTTAACTTTACGATGCTATGTTGATCCATACATTCACTTTTAGTAGCATAGTTAGTATATATTTTTGTGTATTCATGCTTATCCAGAAACTTACTTGACCCATTGAGCTTGCTTTAATGTTTTTGATTTTTATCGTTGCAGATTTATAGAATGTCAAGAGTCAAAATATTTATTGTTAACAGCGAAAAATATCCAAAATGCATTGGTCAAGAATTTCACATATCTAATGGCATCTATATTTTACTAAAAAATGGAAAATTGATTTCTCAAAACGATAGTAGTCTGAAACTAATCTCAATGACCCCGGCTTTTACAACAGATGAAAAAGATGAACTTCAACTGGTCAATTTGTTTTTAGCGCGTCGTGATTTACACTTCTTTCAACATGTACATTGTGTAGGAAATGGTTGTGGATTGATAAATCCTGAACTATCACTGACATTTCGCGACCAGAATGCCATGGAACATCAACCCAGGTGAATGAATACGACGGCGAATTCGATCGAGTCTATACGATCCGATCAGCTGACAGAGTCCGGGTTGTGTGTTCACTGACGGTTACCTACTGTTGGAATCCGGCGAGCATCCGACAAAATCCAACAGCCGAATTCGACAGAAATTTCAGAAGTCGGATTCCAACGAGATTCTTTAAGGATGCTATCAGATTTTCATTGGTTCCTGCAAGAACCGATCGGATTCCAACACTAGGGATCGATCCATGAGTGGGTTCGCAACCCTGATTTACATAGGATCCTGTAGGAACCGATCGAAATTCGATGGGATCCAACTGTCGGATTGTTCGTTCTGGGAAGTGATTTGTCAATTTTTAATTGATACCGGATCTACTATATCATGTATACCACAGAAAATGATTCCATTTCCAGTACATGTAGCGTATGTTAATGTTGAAACAGGTGCTGGTATTCAAAGACAGCATTTAACAAAAATCCAAATGTTTCATTGATGAACACATTCATAATATTGTCGCATATACTACTCAAGGAACATCGTGCATTGTTGACATGGATATTATAAAATATTATACGCTTACCATAGATGGAGATAAAGCCGGCATATTGGTCAAAGACAATCTTAATCCTAATGTTGAAGACGAATTCATATTAAATAGAAATTAAAGTAAAAAAATGAAATGATCAAACTATTGTTTATTTCATATGTATGTTTCTTGACTTATTCTTGTCGCTTGTATTATGCCATGAATCATCAAGTATTTCTCTTGTTTTAAACAAAGATCAAGAGAAAAATAAAACAAAGTATAAACAGCAATTTCATGTATTTGAATATGAATAACTATAAAATCATTTAACTAAGAATGAAATCAAGACTTTTCGTAAAGAAACGAATGTCACAAAGAATTCAAGGTTTGAAAACGAGTTGTACTTTAATTGAGGTTTGCTTGTTACATATTTTTAATAAGATAAGTTTTTATGAATAACCGTAAAGCTGACCATTATCTATTGAATTAACTTTCAAACACAGGGGTACCATAAATCACTGATTCCGTTCTTCCTAACATTACAAATGAGAAAAAACGATCTGCTATTAGACGAAAATTTAATTTCCAAAATTCAAGAGCATCAATTTGAATTAATCTTTAATAATGCCGATATCATGGTTATATTTCACAAAAATTCGAACAATATTGAAGAAGTGCGAAATTTTTCTTTCGCCATCACTTAATCCATATTCCAAAATATTTCAATAGCATACATTGACCTATGCTCTACTTTCTCGTACCTGACTATCTCATTACTATCGTCCTAGAATGATGGTAGTTTATCTAGTTCCAATACTTGCTACAAACTCTAAGTTTCCTTCCCACAATGATTTCTATAAATGTTCATAGGTAAAAATTTTCTGTTCAGTTCTTCAGAAAAAAAAAGCAACAAAAGACTTTACTGTGAAAACTGAGAGCAAACTAGTTGCCATAACGAATTTTGTGATACATAAAAAACTAAAGAAAAATAAATTTTTTCATAGTTTTAATTTAGGTCGAAAAAAAAACACGATGTTGAAGTTGAATTGTAAGAATGCTATTGATTTGTGTTAAATGTGCTTAATTTGACTGCATATAAGTGCTTTCAAATGCATTTATTTAGCATGAAGATTGAGTTTTTGAGGTTGAACAAGCATAATAAAATTTTCAGTCTATTCTGTACGTCAAAATGAAACAGATTTTTCTGAATGCTAGTGATTGAACAAAAACAAATTAATCATTTGTTTTGAAAACTTCAGCAAATCAACTTGAAAGACATAGAATAGGTTAAAAACTGTTACTTTATCGAAATGATCGAGATTTAGAAAAACCTCAGATTCTAGTTTATCATTGTAAAAATATTTCAGTTTAGATCAGAGATAGAACTCAAGTGTTTCGGTACAGGTGAATGTGAGACTCCTTATTCTACTCATACTCTTAAGATAGATAATGTTTAGTATGATGAATAATATTAGATAAATACAAAATAGATGTATAATCTCAAGATATAGAAGATAATCGATCATCTTCTTCATTATTGTTCATCTTTCTAAAGTTTACATTTTGGTTTTATTTTGTAGCTTCAACTATCATTCATAGAATTAATTCTTCTGTTTTTTTCTTTATCAATGTCTATGGAGATTTCTTTGATCAAGTGAATAATATTGTAAACAATTGATTGTATCAATTGCAATCATATATAATGTTGTCTATGTAGTTTCGGACAACATGTTTATCATGAAAATTAAAAAAAAAAGAATAGATAAAATATACAAATGTTTCATCTCGAGTAAAACTAATTATTAATTTATTTGATAATGCATCCAAAAACAGATACTTATTATGTAGCCTGAGATTATGTTTATACATGTTATTATCAATATTATATTCATATTGGTAGATAATTAAACAATTAAAGGTAATTCCGATGGACAAATAACAATTTGATTTCGAAACTTTTCAGTATAGCCATCATAGCAACTCATTATAAAATGAATATCGGTTGTTATTGATTCGTTTTTAACATAAATTTTAATAAAAATATGATGAATTCTTATCACGCAATCTGCTGATCAGAATTCATAAACAGTTTACAAGTTTAGTATTGTATTTCATTTTATTTGTTCTTTTACTTGTTAAATTTTTTCTAGTTTTTGTATATAACTTGAAAACTAAACTCGACATTCTCTATGAAAACATAATAGTTGTAAAAATTCTAGCTGAAAGAACGATTTTTCAAACACGAGCGCGTTTTTTTATCTTAGCATACTTGAATTATATTATGATCGTTTGATTGATATTTTTAAATTTTATCCTATCATGTAGAAGCAAAATTCTTTAAATACTGATGTTAATCTTTTATTAAAAGTTCTTTCGAGTACACTAGAAGCAATAACTGGCATTTTTTGGCGTTAGATGATATTCTATCTGATAGATTATATTTTTAATTATTATATTTATCGTTAAACTCACTTATTCTTACTAGAATATAAATTCTTTTAAAATAAGTTATTATTTAAAAAATCTATATAAAAAAAAAGATTTTTATAAGGTTAATTTATGTACTGATTCTTCTTTTTGCTTGTTTTAATGCAAATGTTATTTACTAACAGCTCTATAATGACCTTTGATCAAAAGAGATTAATGAAGAAGAAATTGTTTTCTAAGACCTGAAAAACTTTATGTTTAGCTTTTATCATTTTGAACCAATAGATATAATAGATTTAGATTACAACAATTAACTTTTAATATTGAATATTTTTAAAAACATTTAATAAATAACCAAGAAATAAAAGTTTCAGACACATTCTTGAGAAATATTTGGATACTTAACTATCGAATTAATAGGAACTAAGTTAAAGTTAAGGATAAAATGAAAATTTTCTATTTAAATTATTATCAATATTTAAATTGAATAACTAAATTAAAATATACAAAATAATTTAAAGAATTTTGTAGGTATACCATCAAATTTATATTTTAATATTAAAAAAATTCTTTAATGGTAAAAGAAATTTTGAATTTAATTAAAAACCATTTTCTACCAATAATCTCTTCCTTTTTCAATTCTAACTGTATTCTTTTTCTCTATTATAAAATCTCAGCATTTTTTTTCTTTTTTTCTTTTAATAAAACTTTATTTTGACTTGTATACTATCCACTACAAATTACTATAATTCGTTTTATTTATTTTTTTGTGTTTAATTTATTCAAAAAAGAAAAAAATGTAAAAGAAAACGAAGATTATCGAAACAATTAATATCAATAAACTATGAGAGAATATTATTCACATCGTTATCAATTATTGCAAAAGTAAAACAATTTTTTTTTCATAATTATCACTGCTTGATATTTATCGAAGACGATTATTTCATAAAAGAATACAGTTAGAATTGAAAAAGGAANGTTCTAAGTGCTGAAAAACTAGGGTTTTGGTTTTCTGGAGACCCCGTCTTTACAAATCTAACTAGGATTCTTATTTTCTTATAATCGAGTTGGAAACAATTTTCTCTACCAGAATCATTATTTGGATTGTTTCTAGCATTCAAGAGAGCGGAAAAAAATTGAAAATAAACCTGGTTGAATAATTTTGGTACTCACTGTATATATATTGCTATTCTTTATTCATAAAAGAAAATACTTCTGGTGAAAGAAAGAGTGATGGATCCGAAATTTGTTGTCGACTCAAAGGATGGTGATATTAAGGTATTAATCTTCGACAATATGCTTAATGTCCACATATTACATGTTACCGCTTTGATGGTGGCCTCAAGAAGAACACGAATCGATGAGATGAGTGGGGTGTGGATGTGCATACGGCTGTGAATGTGGGTGTGATACTGTATCTTCTCTTCATCCACACCCACACTGACATCCTGAACGTAGACCTGAATCAATATCGAAATTTTCAAGTAATGTTTGAATAAGTAAAGAGTAGAATAAAAATTGGACGTTTCAATTTTTTATAGTTTATCAAGTAAATGTCGGTCAATCGAAAATCGCTTTAGCTAAATGGTAAAGTACATCGGTTTTATTAGTTCCATGATCATAAGTACTATTCGATAATGTTAAAATCGACGAAAATGAAGATACGTGTATTACCAGGA